TTCTGACTTTGGCTGATGTCCATTGCTAGAGAGCTAATGTTCCCCTTTGGGAGTGTGCTTTCCATTTGATGCTTCATACTTCCAGAGTTCTTTCACTGATTCCTTCCCATCTGGATCAGCTGTTGCTTCTTGCCTTTAGATTTTCCTTTGGATAATGACATGCCCTGTTTAGTTTCTGAGCCAGTAGATGGTGCTTCTGAGTGAGATTTGACCACACCATGTATGATGAGTCAGAAGATGCAGTAAAAGGGTGTGCAGAATGACCTCCCTGTCAGTAGGAGGTGCTTGCTGGCAGAAGCAAGCTGCTGTGTTGTTTTGGGGTCCTATAACTAGCTCTTGTTCCTCTGGAGAGACACTCTAGTGCCTCAGGGGATGGGTGGGGCCCTGGGATTTCCAGATGTGTCCTTATTCTCCACCTTAATTCAGACAGGTGGGGGAGTGAGGCTGGGTGGAGCTGGGTTGGGTAAACCTTCCCTCTCGCTGCACAAATGCTGTTAGCAGGGGTCAAAGGTCTGTTTCTGCTTCTGGACAAAGCTCCAGAGAGAGGCTGGAATGGCCCCACTCAGCCAAAAAGTCTACACTTTGGGGTGGGGCTGTCTAAAACCCACAGTCTGGAGTGGACCTTGCTCCTTTCCACCGTCCCCTATTTGGGGATTCTTCCTGGCCTCCGCCAGCAGGCAGGACCTCATGCCAGCGGGTCTCCCCTGGCTACAACGTGAGCCTAGAGGTTCCCTGCCCAGGGTAGCAGCCTGAGCTGGGAGCACAGCCCTCCCATGGGAGGAGGGGTGCCCCATGAGCACACTGCAGCCATGACCCAGTCTGCACTGTGACCCCTGACCTGCCCTTTCAGGCACCCACACCTTGCAAGGTTAATTCACAAATATCCCCTCTGTGCCCTGGGGCAATGGGATCGAGACCCCAGTATACACGATCTGGTCTGCAGGCCTGTCCCCCAGCCTGGAGATCCATTCCTGACCCTGCCAGGGAGAGGGGTGCTGGTCCCAAGTCACCCATGGGGTGCCCAAGCTAGATCAATGTCCCTCCACCTCAGGGTTTGCCCTGCTCTGCTGCAGTCACCAGGAAGGGGCATGGGGTAGGGAGCTCACAGTCTGACACCCCTCAGTCTGCTGCAGGGCCCTAAAAGGAACGTCCGAGCCCTGTTCCCTGTGGAAGCCTCCGTGTGGTGGCTCCATCATCTCTCTTGGCAGCCGTGGGTGAGGGCTGAGAAGGGGTGAAAAGAATCAGGGTGGAGGAAAGTCCACCCTCTGGTCGTGTCCAACTCTCTCTCCGGGAGGCAGCCCACCCAGAATGACGGGGCTCTGGAGTCACTCAGATCACCAGGGACCCACTGCACCCCTGTGGCTCCTGCAGTCCGGTGGGAGTTGGGAAATGTCAGTTGGGGACAAGCAAGAGGAAACCTGAGGGGTAAAGGCCACCCAGGGAGGACAAAGGTGCCCGGTGGGTGGAGAAGCAACATGGCACCCGCCGTCCGGCTCCAATCTGGGGGGAGAGGTAGCCCGGGGTGGCTGGCACCTGGCACCCCATCTGCGAGAAGCTCACTGCTCACTGTGGCAGCTGTCTCTGGGCTGGTGTCAGCAGGTCCCTCCAGCAGCTCGGAAGCCACCAGCAGTCGGATGTGCAAGGCAGGGGGAGGTTGGCGGATCCACCTGCCCTCCTCGCTGGTCTGCGAGCCTCTCAGGGCTCAATCCCTGCCGATGCCTTTCTCCTTCTAGTTCTCTATGTCTTCTTAAAATTCTTCTTTTTATTAGTTATAATGCCCTAAAAAGCATTCTACAATATACACTATAAACTATATAAATACCTTGCTTCCTAATTCATGCATATGTTTGCTCTCCTGTGTATACGTTCATGCATACATATACATATGCTACGACTCAATCAAATAAACAAATACTTAAAAAACAAAATCTAGGTAGTCACATATAGTAAAAAAAAACCTTAATATTAAGGTTTGTTGAATATTAAATGCAACAAGGAAAACATGAGCTGCAGCAATATTACAGTCAGATTTTTCTGAACATGTGATACCCTTTTTTAGGGGATATAATTTAAGACTCCATCAATTTTATGTATTTTCTTTTCAAAACAGACTTTGAAATGTTGCCACTAAGACACGCATGTGAAATTTGTCCTTTGAAATGTCAGAGAATTAGTGTAAATGCTCAGAACAGAGGGGCTTTCCTGTGGGGAAGTCCCCACGCCATGGGGCAGCGGCGGCCCGGCCGAGGCCCAGAGGGGAGCCGCCAGGCTCCTGTGCACCCCAGCGGCAGGAACCCCGGGGCCCGGCGGAGTCAGGACTTTCGGCAACACCTTACAAGTCCGGCAAACACATATATTCTGCACCGGTGTGGAGAGAGGAGCTAGCTCCTTCGCTGACATCCTACGTCCAGGGAAAGGATGGCAAATGCCACGTTACGTCCAAGAATCCAGCTCCTCCAACATAAGGCAGAGAAACAGAATTCTCTTATTAAATTGCCAAGGCTAGCTCTATAGTGTTCTGCGCGTGCAGACGGGCCGGTCGGGACCCAGTGGCGACCGTCCGTGCAGCACGGGGAGAGGCCGGGCCCACGGAGGACCTCTGGTGCTTCCCAGCACGGCGTCCTGGGTGGCGGGTCTCACTGCACGGGGACAGCCCTGTTCTGCCTGAGTGGCCGGGGCTGTGCACTCTCCCACCTCTTAGACTCTCACTGCAGCTTTCTTCGAAACACACCAGAGTAAGAGACTACAGTCGCGGGAGAGCTGACTTCCCGTCCCAGCCATGGAATACGGTTTGCGGGGAGTGGAGGAGAGGACCCAAGGCAGACACCGCCAGGGTCCAGGGAGGGACAGCTGCGGCCTGACAGTGAGAGAGGTTTTGGGAAAAATCAATGAGAAGACACAAGAACCATTAAAGGACAATTCCAGCCAGTTGGCACGGGAATGCACGACCGTCTACCTCGACGTCCCCCGAAGGCGTCCAGGCCTTGCAGCACCGACGGCCATCAGTGCACCTGCCCGGTGTCCAGGACGGCGAGAAAAGGGATGTCATCCCATGCGCTATATTTAAGAAGAGAGAGAGGACGCAGCACGTTTTGGAAACATCTTTATACATGGCAGCTGCAATGTTTGAATGGCTACTGCTTAAGGAAGCCAGCTTCATTCATCTGAAAATTTGAATCATACAGGGAAGCCCAGCTCCCAGGTTTGGCAAATATGCAAGATGTTTCTGTTCCGTCTGTTTTCAAACTTAAAGCATATCTTCGCAAATCACATCAGTGCATTGGTCATACTGAGAGAAGGCTCTGAGTAAGTTCTCTTTTGATTTCTGAGGGGGAGAACACTAACCGAGTCGAAGGACAAGAGACACCCTGGACACCACACTCTCCGGGCAATCGGCCCCTCGTCCACACCTGGACGCTGAACAAGGATCCCTACTTTATGTACAGAGCACTTTTTATTTATTTTTTTATTTTGCAAAGCCAAAGCTGTGCTTTAAAAATACAGACTTTTAAATTGTAAGGCATCACTTTGCATTTTGTAGAGAGAAACAGTTAAAGCTTACAAGAACAATATAGAGTTTCAAATAGCACATCTGTCAGGATTAAACACAGTAATATTTCTGACATTTATGTCCGCCCTTCTCTAATTCATGTTTGTTGTATTTCTGTAACATGAGAATACTTTTCTCCGCTTATATTCATCTATTTACATAACACTATAAAAACTTTAGTTCTAGGAAGCAGAAGAAAGTTGTTAAAATCTGATTCCACCCTGACTCAGATAATGGGTAAAACCACTTCAAAGGCGCTGTCGGGAGCCAGCACGATTCCAGCCATGCACCACCCAATCTGCAGCTCTCCAGAGCCCAAGTCCTCAGCCACACACTGTCCAAGCCCTTCCACCACACCGTGGAGACGGAATGAAAATTCTCTCTGTATTGTCTCAGTCGCCTTCTTCTTTTCAAAAAGGTATTCTATTTATTTAAAAAGCTAAAAGTATCTAACACTCTAAACTGCACAACAAATTCCAATGTCATTATGATTCTTCAAACAAATAGCCCTTAAACCCCCGCCGTATGCTGAGACTCCGCTAGGCGGCCGGGACAGGGCGGTGCAGGAGACCGTCATCGCAGAGCCTGTCTTCACAGAACTCTCAGCCTCACAGACCCGTAGGGAAGATTCGCTAATGACGGAGACTGGAAACAGTTCCCGCGGAAACAAGAGCAACTTTGTATCTTCCTGACAGACGGCTGCAACCTGAACAGCCTTCCCCATGGTGACAGGTGTCACGAAAACCTGCTCAGCCGCCCCGCTTGTCACCCTGAAGCTTTTCGAACGCTTGAGCTTGTCTTTCTTCTGCCACTTTCCAATCATACATGGTCGTCGTGCCTCTCAAAGGGAACTGAGACAAAACACTGGCCTATTTTGCTACCTACAATCCTCAAGAGCGAACATTTTGATAGATAAAACGTTTACACGTGTGTCTAAAAGGAGTTCTGTGAGAGCCTCTGTGTGCTTTTTCTGCTTTGCTTTTCCAAACCATGTGACCCTTTTGTGCTAGAACCAGAAGAAATTGTGGGCTACAAATGCTGCTGCCGCTGCGTGAACATTTCTGAAGATGTTTACCTGTGCCAACAACCCACTTTAACCCAGCGTTTCCTAGAGTCTGTTGCGTGCAACGCCGGTCCCCTAACACACCGCAGAGCCACAAGGCCGCACGGTCCTCGTCAAGCACTCTGGGACACGCTGCCTGGGGGAGCTCACCGCCTCCCCACGCAGAGAGCACGCAGCCGTGAGCACCAAGTCCCTGATCCTGCAGGAAAGACACCTGCTTCATTTCGTTTAATTTCCAGATTTCCCATTTTCCCATGCATATTTGGCCGTGAGCTTTTCTTCTGCTTCTGCTGCTTCTTTTTTTTTTTTTTTTTTTTTAGCATAACAGCTACCAGTATGTCAGTATGTTTCCCCAATGCTTCAGGGACAGTCACCTTCCCCCCTTCCCCCCTGCACGTCACATGGTGAAGGACGACGCGTTGTCGTTATCTGCGGTCTCGCTGGTCTGCCGGGAGACGAAGGTCTCTGAGTGCATCCTGGAGCAAGAGAAGCCCTGGGACTTGTACTTCCTCCTCACGCACCACAGGTCCTTCATGATCTTCAGAAAGTAGCTCCTGAACTTCTGGCCGACAAAAGCGTAGAGCACGGGGTTGAGGCAGCAGCGGAGGAAGGCCAGGACCTCCGTGACGTGCCTGGCGTAGGCCATGGCTTTCTCGCCGGGGCACGCCCGGTTCGCGCGGCCCAGGTTTGCGGCGGTCACGAGGAGGACCAGGTTGTGAGGGATCTGGCAGGCCAGGAACACGAGCACCACCGCCACGATCACGCGGATGGCTCTGTGCCTCTTGGAATTCTGAGCTCGCACCAGGGTCCTGACGATGAAGGCGTAGCAGAACACCATGAAGGCCAGAGGGACGAAGAACCCGAAGAGGAGCTCGAGCGCCAGCATCAGCAGCTTCCACTTGATGGGGTCCGAGTCGGCGTCGTACCTGGGCTCGCAGACGTAGCCGCCCTGCAGGGGGTATTTCTGGTTGAAGGTGAAGGTGGAGCTGGAGATCAGGACGGACAGCAGCCACACGGCCAGGCAGATGGCCCTGCTGTGCGGCAGGGTCCTGGACCGCAGCCGGAAGGCCTTGGTGGCCTGCACGATGGCGACGTAGCGGTCCATGCTGACGCAGGCCAGGAGCAGCATGCCGCAGTTGAAGTTCACCGCGTAGATGCCCCGCGCCAGCTTGCAGGTGGCGTTGCTGAAAACCCACGCCCCGGCAGCGTGGTTCACTACCCAGAAGGGCAGGGTGAGGACGAAAAGGACGTCTGCCACGGCCATGTTCAGCAGGTAGACGTCCGTCATCGACCGGGCCTTCTTGTAGAAAGCGAAGGTCACCACCACCAGAGCGTTGCCCACGAGCCCAAACACGCAGATCAGGGAGTAGGTGACCGGCACGAACAGCCTGGAGAAGTCTCTCACCTCCTGCAGGGAACACAGCAAGTTGTCGTCAACGTACGTGTCGTTGCTGTAATCAGACGGAAAATAATCTTCCGTGAAGAGGTTCGCGTCGCTGAAATTCATTGAGTCCTGGGGCGCAACGAAAGACAGAGCCGTTAAACAGCTGCCGTGCAATTTTCCAGCAGCCGCGATGAACCCAAACGATGCTCCCCACCAACAAAATAAATCCTCACCTCACTCATGGTGGTACTTGATCTGGGCCAAAAATGCAGGGATAACATAGGGGGGAAAACGTGTGGCTCGATCCCTCCGGCTCACCAGCGGAGAAAGCACGGGGGTAGGAGTGAGTCTAAGGACGGAAGAAAGCAAGACACACGCAGTTAAGAGACAGCCAGAGAGGCAAATGACAGCGCCGCACCCCGGTTGAGCAGGGCACCGCGTGCTCCCGCGCGTAAAACTGCGCGTTCAGAGCTGCAGTCAGCAGCCCCTTCCCGTAAAGCGCCGGACGGCAGACTCTCCAGGCTTCGTGCATAGGCCGCGTGGTCTCTGCCACCCCTGCCCCCATCTCCCACAAACGAGGGGGCCTGACCCCACCTGGCTGGCAGCCCGATGTGACTTACCCATGTCAGAGGTGCTTCCCAGCCACCCACCACCCCATCCCTCTAGACCTGATTCTCCCCCCCGGGGCCTGGCAAGGTCAGGAGGGAGCAAGGGAGGTGCAGCCTCAGGTGCAGAAGGGAGACTTCCTGCAGGGCCCTTCACATGGTGCCGTGTCTGTCCTCATTTATGGAGTCAACATGGAAACCAAAATTTTGGGGCGGAAGTCGGCATAACACAAAATTCAACCTGGCATTATTTTCTGAACATATTTCTTATCTTTTGCTGCTTGCTCAACCCCATTCCCCGGGGAAGGCATGGAGCCACCTCCGCACTTTTGCAATCGCCTGCAGTATACAGTTGAGTGCTCTAGAGCATGCAGAAGATGCATAATATAGAGCCCCTGTGTTGCAAAAGCATGTGAGGAGGTAATCGTATCAATCAGATTAAGTGCAGCAATCAAAGCAGAACTATGGGCCAGGCTCGGTGGCTCAAGCCTGTGATCCTAGCACTCTGGGAGGCTGAGGCGGGAGGCTTGCTTGAGCTCAGGAGTTTGAGACCAACCTGAGCAAGAGCAAGACCCTGTCTCTACTAAAAATAGAAAGAAATTAGTGAAACAACTAAAAATAGAAAAAATTAGCTGGGCATGGTGGCATGTGCCTGTAGTCCCAGCTACTTGGGAGGCCGAGGCAGGAGTATTGCGTGAGCCCAGGAGTTTGAGGTTGCTGTGAGCTAGGCTGACGCCATGGCACTTGAGCCCACTTGAGAGCCCATAGCACAGAGCCACTTGAGACTCTGTCTCAAAAAAAAAAATTAAGAATTAAATTAAATTAAAAAATTTATTAAAAAAACAGAACTATAGGATTTCAGTTTCTAGCCACAATGGATTAACAGGGACCAAAATACCCTACTGCATTAAATGACTAGAAAATCCTACAAAACATAATAAGGACTTTCAGACGCTAGGCACTGGGCATCACAGGATTATGACCCCTGGGAGGAGGAGAACAAGCGAAGCAGGAAATGCTATGTGCTCTGTGAGTTAGCAGTGCATGTATACAGGTGTGTGTGTGTGTGTGTGTGTGTGTGTGTGTGTGTGCATGACATATACAACATGTAAAATGAAAAATACATGATCGGTATTACCATCAGATTAGACACTGTCCATATGCAGAATTCAGTCGTAATTCTATGCTCTAGCAACAAAAGTTGGAAATTAAAACTATATACATACATACACACATATATATATATGTATCATATAATAGTGTCAAAAAACATGAGATGAAATAGTTATGGATACATCTAACAAAATTCATACAAGATTTATATGCTGAAAACCACAAAACATTGTTGAGAGAAATTAAATAAGACCCACATTAGTAGAGAAATACATCATGTTTAGGATGAAAGGATTCAATATTAAGATGTCAGTTCTACCCAAATTGATCCACAGATACAACGTAAACTAAATCAACGTCGCGGCAGGACTTTTTGTAGAAACTGACAAGCTGATTCTAAAATTTATATATAACTATAATCGTGACAACGTGATGCTGGTTGTCAGGACAGATACATAAGTCAGTGGAACAGAACACAGAGTCCAGAAATGACCCACATACAGATGGTCGACTGACTTTCAACTGAGGCGCCAAGGTAACTCAGGGGAGAAGGAGCAGTCTTTCCAATAAGTGGTCCCAGAACAACCGGATATTCACATACGAAAACTTGATCCTCACTCCTTATCTCACACCATATGCAAAAATGAACTCAAATGGATTGTGGCTCTAAACGTGACAGCTAAAGCATGAAACCTCTAGAAGAACACAGAAGAAAATCTCTGTGAGTGGGAATGGAGGGGGTTTCTTATATAAATTGCAAAAAGCATGAACTGTAAGGACAAGTTGAGAGGTTGTCCTTGATCAGAATTAAAAACTTCTGCTCTTTGAAAGACGCTTAGGAAAAAAGAAAAAAAAAAACAACCCATTGAATGGAAAACAATATTTATAAACTTGTAGGTGATAATAGGTTCTAATCAGAATATACGAGGAATTCTTACAATGCACTGTCAAAAAGATAAAGAACTCAATAAGAAACGGGAAACGTGCAAATTAGGCAATTCACCAAAGAAAATACATGGATGGCAAAACCACACACACACACACACACACACACACACAAAACAGGCTCAACCTCATTAATCATTAGAGAAATGCAAATTAAAACCGCAAAGAGATACAGTTTCACACCCACCAGAAAGGCTAACTTTACCGGGCAGACGGGAAATGTGGACGCAGATGTGGTGCAGCCGGAGCTCTGGCTCTGCTGGTAGGGGTGACAGACCACGCAGCCACTCGGGGACAGCAGCGAGGCTGCCATGTGCACCTACACGCAAACCGGCAACTGACCCCTGCGTATTTACCCACGCCGACCCGGGAGAAATGGAAAGATGTGCACACGTTCACGGTAGGTTTATTCTTAATAGCCCCAAACTGCAAAAGATCCCAACGTCCGTCGGCCGGTGAGCAGATAAGCGAGCTGTGGCCCCTCCGTGTGACAGACACTACCCGACAATGCAAAGGAAGGAGCTGCTATTGTAACACACGCCCCGACACCCGTGAACCTCAAAAGCATGTTGCTGGGTAATGAATGCAGACATAAGAGCCCACAGTTCAGCATCACTCTGCTCACAGGTAATCCTAGGAAAAGCAAAACAATGGCGGCGGGACCCAAATTGGAGACCATGGTGGGTGGGGGGTGGCGAGAGTGGCAGGGTGGGGCAGAGCAATGTCGTGGGAAAGACCGCTCTATGTCATGACTGCCAGGCACAGGCGTCTGCGTGTGCCAAACCCACTGCGCTGCATACTTCAAGTAGGCGACATTTATCGTTCATAAATCATGCCTCGATAAAGCTAATTTAAAAACAACTGCATACCCGTCCATGCAAATGTGGGGTACAGACCATAGGTGCTACGAAAGGTCGCAGAAAGGAGCCACTCCTGAGCATTGAGGGCTTCCAGAAGGTTCCCAGGGCCATGGGAGGAAGGGCTGGTTGGTGCAAGGGAACGGGGAGGGGGCGCTGGGTGGGGGAGGGGCACCTGGCTGCTGTGGGGAGCCCCGAGCAGGGGTGCTGCTAGGGGCCGGGAGAGCGGGTGGCAGCTGAGCGGTCAGCGAGGAGGCCGCTGCTCGGAGGGGCAGGGGTGGCGGGGAGCTGCGGGAAGGGAGCGTGAGGGCGGCCCGGCACACACACCGTGCCGTCGGAACTATGTTTTCCACCGCGCTGTGACACATGACACCTCTGAACTCAACTTAGTTCAGCTCCACCGGTGTTTACGGAATGCCTGCTGAGGGCAGGCACCGAAGTACGAAGTTGAATCAAACAGAAACCCTGGCTTCAAGAAGCTGCCAGATAAACAAATACTATAACCAGCGCCAGTATTGACCAGCAGTATTAGTGAGAGGCACCAAATAAAAAAAAAAAAGGGAGAAGTTTCGGCCTAAATTAAGTTCTGTTAATGAGATAGTATTTTAATTTTCCTTTAATTTACCCTTATTTCTGATTAGAATGGCAGAATAAGTCACAGTAAGCCAAAATGCATGACCTCCACGTCGAGTAGGGTAGCACCAGGTGCCTGTCAGGCACAGACGATGCACAGGTCTGGCAATGACAGACTCGGCGCTGTGAGGCTGAGAATCAGGGTTTCCGCAGAAGGCCTGTGGCCGCGGTTGCTTGCATGCCAGCCGCTCGCAGTGATTGGAGATGATTCAGCCTGCCCCAAACCACGGCCGTCGCTGCAAAATCGGTGTGAATCGCTTTGAGGAAACTGTGCTGGCAACGGGCTGGCCCGGGCTCCATGGCGACAGGTGAGCACCCTGTACACAGCGCCCCGTCACCTCCAGTCTCACGCAGCAACCGTCAGCTCTTTCCAGGAACAAGCTGTGCATTTTTTTGTTATGAAAATTTTGATGGCAAAGACATTAAGAAGTCTTCAAATAGATACTTCTGTGCCTTCTTTCATGCACTGAGAACAAAATACTCTGCAATGTGCCAGTGGCAGATGAGGGAGACAGGGAAGTGGCCACACCTGTTGTCCATTCCTCAGTGACCCAGCAGATGGATGCTGGGAGGCTGCCTGCCCGACACCGGGGTCTGGCTCTGCCTGGTCTTTGAGCGTCATCACCTTCTACCTCCACGTTGCCGAGACCTTACCTCCACTCTTGCCGGCTCTTATTTTGATGTTATTAAGTCACGTGTAAAACATTTTTAGTTCAACTGATTCTTAAAGTGTAATTTGTGCACAGTGGCTCACGCCTGTAATCCTAGCACTCTGGGAGGCCAAGGCAGGCGAATCATTTGAGCTCAGCAGTTTAAGACCAGCCTGAGCAAGAGAGAGACCCCGTCTCTACTAAAAAAAAAAAAAAAAAAACACAGAAAGAAATTAGCTGGACAACTAAAAATGCATAGAAAAAATTAGCTGGGCATGGTGGTGCATGCCTGTAGTCCCAGCTACTTGGGAGGCTGAGGCAGGAGGATCCCTTGAGCCCAGGAGTTGGAGGTTGCTGTGAGCTAGGCTGACGCCACGGCACTCTAGCCCAGGCAACAGAGTGAGCCTCTGTCTCAAAAAAAAAAAAAAAAAGGAAAAGAAAGTAATTTGCTCACCTTTGGAATTTACATGCAGGTATTTCTCAAACCAGCGGGTATAAGAATATTTCTGCAAAACCAATTGGTATAGAGACTCTGTAGGACAAACT